CCCGCAGTTTTGTCGCTGTAGTTGTATAAAGTATTTCCAATCAGGCAGGCGTTTCTTCATTCCCATGTAAGATTCTAATTGTGGCTATTTCCTGGTGTGGTTGTAGGTAGCAGCGGTTTTTGGTTTGAGAGGAAGAAACGTTGCACTCTCCACATCGCCTAACTGCGACTCGGGTAAGTTTCACAGTTGAGAACTAAAACGTCTTGTTGGGGTAGCATTCGGTCTCCAATAATTAAGTAGCCTCGATTGCCAGCCGCTATTCGGGAAACGAGCCCGCGCTCCTATAGAAATAAGTTACAATATTTAGAGAGGAAGCCACATTAGTCTCAGCTGGTTTTCACGCGGGTTCTCTATCCTGGTCGAATTGGAATTTGGAGATGTTGGTTTTTGTAGGGGGAGGAAAATTAACCCGAGCACCCGAAGAAAATCCCTTGGAGCAGGGCGAGAACCTACAACAAACTCAACCCATATATGGCACCGGGCCGGAATCGAATCCGGGCCACATCGGTGCGAGGCGAGCGCTCTCACCACTGCGCCATCCCTGTCTCCTCGCTTGCTCCTCTCGGGCTCCTCCCCGCGTTCCTTCCCCGAAGAAGGAGGAGGAACGTTGACCGGACTCAAGGGAGTGGCGGAAATCGAGCCTAATATTTAACTGGCGTCGACGATCTGAAAATTGAGGTCATTGAGGAGTAGCAGCCAGTTTTTTCTCAATTTATCTTTAGTTTTAAGGCTTCTTATTATGAGTATGTTCTGTCTTGTTTATATTAGTTTTTCCGCCTTTGGTCGATTCTGATCTTCTATCTTTGTTTGCTTTTTTACAGCATTGACAGATCAAGATGTCATGAAATACAACGGGCAGTGTCTTTACGCTTTCATTCCAAAGAAATGAAGCAAAGAAATTGATCGGTTCAATGTATTCAGTATTTAAATGCTTCCTAGTGAAGTAAAATGAATGTGCAAGCCTTAAACACAGACTTCTCCAACTACAGTCAGTGTATACAACAGTTTAGAGATATAGTGAACTCCTGGATAGAACCCTTGATCAAGTCCGAGAGGTACTCCCGTAAATTTTGGATAGGTGTGTGCCAAGTGAATGAAAGACCGTAGCAGTATTGTTGATCCAAAGAAAACGCAAATTGATACTCTATTTAAGGCGCAAACCTGAGAAATGACGCCCTGTTCAAGGGAAACAAAAACTAAGAATAGCGTGAACGGGTCCTTTATTTTACAAGTTAAGCATCAAGCATAGAATTTGTTTTGGTTTAGCTGGACATTTACGCGCTGGAATTTTAGCTGATACAATTTTGATACTGACACTTAATAAATAACTTAATAAATGTAGATGTAGACCCTATCTAAAGATCACACCGGTAACACAATGCCAACCGCCAGCGGCAAAAATGATACCCTATTTAAGGATCGAAAACCTCAAAAACCCTACCCTATCCCGAGGCACATACTTTAAAAGCCATTATATGGGAGTACCTCTCCCCCGGATCAAGTGCGCGTTCACTTCTATGCAGCGTACGGGATAGTACTTTAGTTGATCTACTTCTCGCTTCTCTGAGGATGTCATATCATGGTAAGAGTGGACGGAATTTTCCGAATGCTTCTGTTCAGAATTGTACTTTGCAACAAGATTCTCATCTGAAACCAATCTCCTATTTTCTTTATGCGATGTCTGAATGTAGTATTTTGACAGGATAAAGAGACTTTGACAGTCTGAATTAAAACGAGAAAAATATTGAGGACTCAGTGAGTGAGGAACTTAAAGAAGTATTACGTCAGACACACGAAAACAGCCCGATGTTGACCTGTTATAATGGACTTTCAATCGAGAAAAAAACCGTTTATCAGCATGAGTCCATAACCAAGGTATTTCAAGGAGGTGTGAAACGTGTGAAATATCAATACGCGCTGTCTTCGGAGACTAGCAATTTCAGGAATTCTTGTGCGTAAAATTATGTGCTGTTGAAAAAAATGAACCACATTTGGTCCAGGAAACACAACTACACGCTAAACTCAGTAGGATGAAGTCTTAAGAGCTCATTTCAGTCATTAACTGCGCTATCTCGCAGTGATACGGTGTCAAGTTTTGTATATGTAATATGACAACATATTGTCTAATTTAGATGAAATATTTTTCAGGACTGTCAATATTAATAGAAGAGGTCGACGGCCCGGGGTCGAAGGTCGAGTCCAATTTGCACCAAGTGAAGTATTGGTATAAATTCAATTATTTCCAAATGGGATTACCTGTGAATTATACTGCGCAAGGAACTGTCTGGCCTGGGACACTGTCAGTTTGCAAAATTGACGAAAACTCGTGCCCTTGCTTGCTTGGGATTTTACGCTTACGGTATAATTACTCCAGTAGCACAAATAGACCTGTTTCCCCCTGATGAAGCTACTCTCTAAAATACTGACTTTGCGTTTGACGCCGCGTCTGTAATCGATCTGGTTCCAGTGAAATCGCTCCAGGAAACTGTGTTACTGTGTTAATAAGTTGATGGTGAAGTTTATTACATTTACCACCCTGCCCCTATTTTTTTTAATCAAGGGGCCTTTCTTAGCATACTAAAACGACAAATTTAGACTTGTAACTCGCCTGAAAACAATTTCTGAACTTCGCAGTTCATGGTCGCTGGCTTTGAACAAGAGAGTGCATTGTTCCATGGTCAGCCTCTTCTTCCGCCTTTGCTGTGCTACAGCAGTGCAACCATTCGCGAAGCGCTCTCCGGAAATCGCTCTTCCCTACGACGAACAGTATCGGGTTGACCGCGGATGCAGTGAACCTTGTGAAGTAGAACAACATGTAGACGGCCCACAGAGGTAACGACTCCATTTCTGCATCATCAACCACAAGTTCCAGGATAAAGTATGGCGCCCAGCAAATGAGATACACTGCTGACATACCCGCGAAAACTACAGCTGTTTTCCACGTCGATGCGACTTTCGCGAACGGTTGGTCGTCAGATGAATTGCTCTTTTCTGATACTCTGGCTTTGCACTCTCTTTTGTAGACGCAAATGAACGCAAAGATGCGCAATTGACAACAGACTATCGTGGCCAACGGAACGCCAAGGAATAAAACAAGAACGGCAATGGAGTAAGTGAGGTGAACCCGGAGCCGTTCTTCTTCGCTTCTGTCGTCTTCCACGATGATCCACGATAACTGAACGAGCGAGACGAATGCGGCGCAAAGCCAGGCGGTGCAGACGAGACAGGTGGTAGCCTTTCGCCTCAGGACGAATTCATAGCGCGTGAGATGACCCACGGTAGCGAAGAGATGCATAGTCAAAATCGTCAGGTGAAGAACCGTGGAGATGGAGACGAACCGCCAGAACACGGCGCTGGAAAGACACCAGGCAGTGTGGTAAGTTAGATTACAGACAAGGTAAAGAGGAATTCCTAACAAGCCCGCCAGCAAATCACTTGTGGCTAAGCTAGCCAGAACGCCATTTGTCACAGTCTGGAGCTTCTTTTTACGGACAACCAGTGCTAGTGCCGTGCCATTGGCAACGATTATCAACACAGCAAGGACCACTGGATATACGTCATAGTGGGCCGAGAATCCATTGACAAATTCGTCATCCAACGTTTCGTTTCCTTCCCCGTAGAACTCCGAATCTTCGTCCATGATGCGATTTTTTGCTTTGCCTCTTTTTTTTGGTGCAGGGTACACTTATACTCGCAGGTCAAATACCAGAATATTAAGTTCGCTATTCTCTAGATTGTCTCTATATCCTCGGGGTGTACTGATCTAGTTTCAGTATTGCCAAAAAGCTGTCTTTGACAGAGCAAGAGAGAATGATTTTCTTACGTCCAACTATAAAGTTAGTACAAATGACTGTAATCATTAACATGAACAACTTCCAGTGATGCCCTTGTATCCGCTTATAGAACTAATTATCTATGGGTCAATTAATTAGGATTCCCCGTGTTGGTTACAACTGCCAGAGGTGTCACTCGATTACAACCAAACGGAAAAATATTATCAACTTTTGTTGCTGTCTGTGGGAACTACGGGGTACGGTTCCAAAAAACTCTAATGTTTCTTTAACCCAAGGTTGGACTTTAATTTGCAAATCTTGAGCTCTTTAACAACCAGAAATTAACATGAACCGTTAGCCAGCGTTAAGCTTACACTACTCAACAGCTGATCTATAGTCCTGATAGCCTGCGAGCAGGCTCACCGTTCACGGACACGCGCGAGAGGCGAAGAGAGAAGCGATCCGGCGGGAAGGAGTCTGGTGAAGAGGCGCCAAGAAAGTGAGCGTGCCCTGATCTCTGCTTTTTTCATTTCTGCTTCGTCTGAGCAAAGTGAAAAACCATTTGTCGAAAAGCGGGAAAAACGAGAAAACTGTCAATCTGTTATGTTTGATGAAGAGCGATTAAATCCCCATGGTTACCGCACAATAAAAACAAGTCGTCCACAATTGGAGTCGGAGGAAGAGTTGAGTGCGCGTATTACTGATAAAACAAAGTTCCAGTCTATTTCTGGTTAAATTTCAAACTTAAGAGGGAACAGGAAATAGCAGTTGAAAGTATGTTAATGAATCAAGACGTATTTATCGTGTTTCCGACTGCATATGGGAAGAGTTAAATATTACAAACGTATGTGATTGTAATTCAAAGCGGGCAACGAAACAACACGAAGGCGTTTTGCCCGTTTCCCAGCATCGTCAAAGACCAGATTGCCAAAGCAAGATCACCTGGAATCAAGTGTGTGCCCTTAGTAGACATAAACTTTGACAGTTTTTCTTCGGCGAAACTTTATCAACAACGGATATCGCGCCTACATGTTGTTATGAAAAAGGTTTACAATTTTCCTGAGAAATCTGAGCTGCCAAAGTTCATACTTCCGGTGAAAATTAATTGATTTAATTATTCTTTTCTGCGGTTTCCGGGGTGGAAATAAAATATTTGCAGAGATCAGAGCAGG